CTCTGATAAAACATAGGTTTTTGACCAATCAGAGCGCGCGCAGGGTCCCGTCTATATAAGCCAAAAGTGACATGGGTCAGTTCTTCAATCCCCGACCGCCATTATATCATTCACTTCGTGTGCTTTTTGGTAGGTCACATCAAAAGTTATAACATTCAGTAGTTTTGAGGTAGAATGCAAATTCCAATCTTCTGTCCTCAGATATTGCTCCGAACGCGTGAAGATTGTGACGCAAAACGGCAAAAAAACAAAAACAAAACAAAACAAAACAAAAAAACAAAGCAAAAACAATACAAACAATTTTCGAGGCGCGTCGTGCGTGACAACCCATTCCCACGTACAGCTTGATCTAGGCTACATGGAGGCTGTTGAAAGGCAGTTCTTAGCGCGGCTACAGCTTTCATTTGCAGCCAGCAATTATGATGCAAAACAACCTTCAACGCAGTATACCAGGTTTATGTCAAGGCACACACACACACACACACATATATATATATATATATTTTTTTTTTTATGAGGACGTAATTGCATTCATGTATTCACTTGTACACACTCTTTTATTAAATGGATATCTGAGCTTTTAATGTTTTACAAAATGTTCAGTGGACGATACATGTAGACTAATGCAATATCCGAGTACAAATTTACCTGTTTACATCGAGTACTGAAATGAGATACGTTCTCTAAGTAAGTGTGGAACAATTAATGATATTTCTTCATCCTGATGGAGAAACTAAAATAGCGAACAGCTATATGAAAAAGCAAAAAGAAACGTCAGATAAACAACTTGAGCCTACATCAAGTATCAGCGGAAAATTGTCCAAAAAATCTATACACTGTAACGTACCAAAAAATCTTTTATGGGCTGAGTAACATTCGACATAAGGAAATAATAAAAACAACTAATTTTCTTTATACTAGCGTAGGCTTAACCCTTTTATGCGTCAACGTTTCTTGAAATAATTTCGTCGCAGGCTTGAGTGGGAAACTCTTACATTACAAAACGTGGCAGTGTCCCAGTTGACACTCAGCAAAACTACTGAGTTTATCACAAGATTTTGTCAGGTGTTAGTTAATCATCTTCTAAACTGACAAAATCCGTTCGCCTTCATTACTCATCACGCATGTCGACCCCATCTTGCTTCAGGAATGAATTTGCAATGCATAGATTTGCACATTTATGGATACTCAGATATAAAATTAACTGCTCTAATCTACATTTAAATCTCACACACCAAGTTTTATTTACTCAGATATAAACTTAACTGAACTAATCTACATTTTAATCTGACACACTTTTGGTTACTTAGATATAAAATTGCCTGCTCTAATTTACATTTTAATCATCTTTTAATAACAAGTTAATACTTCTAGTGTGCTAACTAGATATAACACGCGTTACTTGCCGTACAGAATACATGACTGTACACTCTAAAGCGGTTAGTATTTTGACCTTAGTTGAAGATCAATCAACCGGCAATCCCTGGTGTGCTTTGACTAAAAGACGATGTTTTAAAGATAACTTGCTAACGTTCTTCTACTCTATCACCCTTACTAATATCTCCCCTTTTCGAAATGAATCCAGAATTAAGGAGTGTTGCCCAAAACCGGGTACACCTTTGGCGACTGCTGTTGTAAGACGTATTCGTTCCATGTGATCAATCATGCGTTTCAACTGTTCTTTTGCAAGGCTATAGTATGTTTCCATACTTGGTCCTTTAAAAGCGGAATATCGTTCTGTGGAGCAAATGATGAGGACAAAAATCCTTAATTGTTTAATGTTAAATTGTTAAAACGAATCAACGTTGTGATACTCGCCGATTCGTTCAAATGCCTCCAAACGCCAGGCAATTTTGCATTCAAGGAGGCAAAATAAAAATACATAATTATTGCAGTTATTATGTGATAAACCAAACAAACATGAGTTGTAAGAAGCATTTTCAGTTAAAAGACCTGGCTCTTTCTAGGTTTTTTCGTAGTAAAAAAAGTAACAAACGAGAAAGATAACCTTTAAATATATATCATATTTCTTGCTGTCACTCTACAATTTAAGTCCATTTCGTTGCTCTATTATTTATTTCACTTGGCTTGAATCGTCATGCAGAAATAATCATAGTCAATGGAGGGGAATGGTTATGAAACTTGACAAAAACACAATAGTTGTTTACTCCGTACTGAGGAACTAGCCAATAGAAACGTTTTGGTTACGTAATTAGCTAACGACTACAACTTGTAATATACATGTAATTAACTGGCAACCTGGCATTTCTAACTATTTCAGGTTATTTCAGGTTGTCAGTTACCCTAATTTAATTTAATAATTATAGTACTATGTAATTTAATTTATGAAAAGGAAGGGATAAATAAAGATGTTGTCGTTGATGTTGATGTAACTTGATGTAATTCATGCATAGTGTATGAGCGCAAAACAAAAGATTGTGCACGGAAGTGGACCTTCCAACATAAATCTTGGCATCTTTGTTTGCCCCTTTGATGTTTCCCGAGTTTCATAACCATTTCACTCTAAAAACTATGAAATAATGAAGCTCAAGTTGTCAGATCCAAAAGATCCTTCTAATTATGATGACACTAATATAAATTGCAATATTGACAGGGTGTTAATGACAGACAAAAAATACGCCATGTAGTATCCTGATTGGCTAATTTTAAAGTTTTCTCGTCGAAGTTTATTCGGTTGGCTCGAATTGGGGTTTTGTCGGGTAACTGTTTAAAATGTGTGTAGGGGACTTTTTTAAATTCAAATAATAATACGAGTGTTTGAGTTATCATTTTTCTTGTAATTGCTGGTATAAAATAAGTTAAACGCATATATTTTGATATATTTTTCCGGAAACTTTTAAAATATATTTGGAGAATACGTACTGAGTATATTGATGTAATTATGGTTTTATTTGTATTTCAATACCTCCCTGGTCAAGTCTGAGTTTAGCTCAAAGATATTCATAACGAAAAAGTTTCAGTCATTTATAGTCTTCTTTTAATTTTCTTTTTACTGTGTTACTTACTTTGTGAACGATGTGATCGCCAGCAGAGTAGCTAAAGCATAGCTTGGTGAGTTGTGGATACCTCCAGATCCTTAATATAAAAATAAAAACTAATTGGTTATCCCCATTTTGTCAGACAAACCATTTTCGAACAATAGTAAAGGAAACCGTACAATTAGCCGTTGAGTTGGCACGTTTCATACCTCAAACTTTGTGTTTACCCGGTAGGCCCAATCGGCAACACAAAAATGAAATAAAGTTATAATAAAAAAGTCTATAAAGTCATACCAGATGATTGAATATCGGTCAGACTGTAAAACGCAGACTGCGGACTGCAGGCTGCAGACTGGAGACTGCACACTAGGGTTGAAACGTAGACTGAGGGTAAAATTCAGACTGCAGACTGTGGAACTTTTAAATGAATCGTGTAACCATTTCCATCATTGAGAGCTAACCGTAAACAGGCTAACCGGAGCGCTATTTAGGTTAACCTGAATGATATTCAGTCTAGCGTGAGCGGTTTTCAGGCCAACCTGAGTGATATTCAGTCTAACCTGAGTGATATTCAGTCTAACCTGAGTGATATTCAGTCTAACCTGAGTGATGTTCAGTCTAGCGTGAGCGGGTTTCAGGCTACCCAGAGTGATATTCAGTCTAACTGGAGTCCAGACTTTCACTGCGAATTTAGCCAGGTCTGCGGTTTGCATTTTGCCCTCAGTCTGAATTGTCCCCATTCTGCAGTCTGCAGTCTGCAGTGTGCAGTCTGTAGTCTGCGTTTTGCCGCTGACTTGATTGAGTGATTTTAAATACTATGAGATTTGGACAATGACGTCACCAACAGTCACCCTATAGTGAGGCAGACGAACAAATCTGTAAAGCTCACCTTCGTCGTCGCATGTATTCGGGCAAGTTCCTTTAGATTCTCCCGGGCAATGTCCATCCTCCTTTTTTTCGTCAGGTTCAATTCCTTCACACTTGTCTGTCGGAGTGCACTTCCTTTCTACAGTTAATGCTCCACCTGCTCCACAGCAGACGGCTTGGCATTGCCCGTCTTTTGGTTTGTATTCTAAAGTGACTCCTAAAACACGACAGACAATGTTAAAAAAAGATAATTAGTAATTGCACAAGCTGTTTTACTCTTTCAGTGGATGCATTTTTGTTTTGCTTGTTTGTTTGTTTTTTGTGATCAGTAATTCTTGGTATTACTAAGACAACAAAAAGGACACACAACTAAAATAATCCAATCACATAATCCTTTTAGTATTAGTATCAGCATGGGCATGGGCACTAGCATTAGCACTAGCACTAGCCTCCTCCATTCACTCCTTTGTAAGTAGCCGCGTAAATGATTTTCCATGGAATCTTCTCTCCTCTAATAACCAACGGGCCTACTTTGTACTTCTCAGTGGCGGACCGAAACAGATTCAATGGTAACCCAAGAGTAAGTGAACTTAAATCGACCAACTGCAAGAGGATCTTCCGTGGCGGCACCAAGGCTCTGAAATAAACTACCCCTCCAGATCAGA